TGCACAAGAAGATTGTCTTTCAGCAGGAGGTAGTTTCGATTCGATCTACCGACCTCTGGGTTTCGGGACTAGCAAGCTTCTGCTGCGGCATCCAGCTTGTTGAGTAAAACGGACTCTTAAGTTTCATTTCTTTTTTTCATAGGTCTTTTCTTCTTCATTATAGATGTAAAACGTTATTTTTTTACAATCAAAAATTTGTGTGTTCAATATTTAACGTAAGAATTAATGAACGTTTGATATTTGTCTGCAGAATTTTTTATTTCTGTCTGGCTTTCAAACTGAAATCAGATATTGTGTATGGTTGCTTTAATTTTTCCACGTTTTGATGAGACAGAAAACTTTGATTAAAAAAACGCTCTTTTAGCACTTAGTAGTTTCGCTATTTTGACCTCTGTGTTACGGGCCCAGCACGCTTCCGCTGCACAATCCTACTTGAACAAGTGAAATGGACTCTTAGTTTTATTTCATATATTTTTTCATAGATCTTTTCTGCTTGATTGCGATGTTTTTTCGAGGTTTTTTCAATTGTCATGAGTTAAGCCTTCATAATGGATGTTAAACTTTATTTAATTTCAATCAAAAAAAGTGTGTGTCCAATAGTTAACCTAAAAACTAATTAATGTTTGATATTGGTCTGCAGATGGTCTGGAGAGCTTTTTCTTGCTGTCTGGCTTTTAAATTGAAATAAAATTCTTGCTGGGTGACTTTTTCCAAGTTTCAATTAGACAGAATAGTTTGTAAAAAAAATCCCAAGGTATATTGGTTTTGAGTTTTTGCACATAAACATTCCCTTTAAACAGGAGTTAGTTTCGATCTCACAACCTCTGAGTAATGAGCTCAGCACATTTCCGCTGCTCCATCCTGCCGGAATTATTTATCGGACTCATAGCTCAATTCCATGTTTTTTCATAGATCTTTTCTATTTGATTGCGATTTTTTTCCAAGTTTCGATGAGACAGAATGTTTTGTTTGAAAAAATCTCAAGGTATGATCGATTTGAAATTTTGAGCATGGAGATTCTCTTTAAGCATGAGGTAGTTTGGATCTACAGCCTTCTGGGTTATTGGCCCAGCACTCTTTCGCTGCGCCATCGTGCTTGTTCAATGAAAACAGACTCTTAGTTTCTTTTCATTTATTTATTTTTTTCATAAATCTTTTCTGCTTCCTAATGGATGTAAAGCGTTATTTTGCTTCAATCAAAAATATGTGTAGTTTTTATTCAACCTAAAACTAATGAAATTTTGATTTTTGTCCGCAGAAGTTTTTCTTGCTGTCTGGTTTTCAAATTGAAATCAGATTTCGTGCTTGGTCGCATTATTTTTTCCAAGTTTGGACGAGACAGAGTGTTTGATTTAAAAAAATCTCAAGTTCTTTTGGATTTGAGTTTTTGCACTTAAAGATTCTCTTTTGGCAGGAGGTAGTTTCAATATACCGACTTCTGGTTGATAGGTCCAGCAAGCTTTCGATGAGCCATCCCGCTTGAAGAATTAAAACAGTTTACTTCTATATTGTTTCCATAGATGTTTTCTGCTTGATTGCATTTTTTGTGGTTTGTTCATTTGTCTTGAGTTTTAAGCCCTCATAATGGATGTAAAACGTTATTTTATTTCAATCAAAAATGTGTGTATTCAATATTTACATTAAAATCATTCAGTTTATGGTGTTGGTCCACAGAATTTTTTCATGCTGTCTGGTTTTAAAATAAAATTGGATTCCGTGTTGGGTTGCAATATTTTTTCTAAGTTTGGATAAGACAGAGTGTTTGATTTAAAAAAAAATCCAAGGTATATTGGATTTGAGTTTGTGAGCTTGAAGATTCTCTTTTAGCAGGAGGTAGTTTCGATATACCGACTTCTGGTTGATAGGTCCAGCACGCTTTCGATTAGCCATCCTGCTTGTACAATCAAAACGGGCTCTTAGGTTCATTTTATTTATGCTGTGTATAGATATTTTATTCTTGATTGCATGTTTTTTTGATGTTTTTTCAATTGTCATGAGTTTTAAGCCCTCATGATGGATGTAAAACGTTATTTGATTTCAATCAAAATGTGTGTATTCAATATAACACTTAAACTATTCAGTTTATGGTGTTGGTCTGCAGAATTTTTTCTTCCTATCTGGTTTTCAAATTGAAATTGGATTCCGTGTTGGGTTGCATTTTTTTTCAAGTTTGGATGAGACAGTGTTTGATTTACAAAAAAATCCCAAGGTAACTTGGATTTGAGTTTGTGCACTTGAAGATTCTCTTTTAGCAGGAGGTAGTTTCGTTATACCGACTTCTGGTTGATAGGTCCAGCACGCTTTCGATGAGCCATCCTGCTTGTGCAATCAAAACGAACTCTAAGTTTCATTTCGTTTATTTTTTTCATAAACCTCTTTTACTTGATTGCTTTTTTGAGGTTTCATTTTTATGAGTTTGAGTTTGTGCACATGACGGTAGTCTTTGAGCAGGAGGTAGTTTCGATCTTCCGATTTCTGGTTTCTGGGCCCAGAATGCTTCCGCTTCCCCATCCTGCTTGACGAATTAAAACCGACTCTCAGTTTCCTTTTATATTTTTTCAAAGATCTTTTCTGCTTGATTGCTTTTTTTAATGCTTGTTCAATTGTCATCAGTTTTAAGCCTTCATAATGGATGTAAAACGTTTTTTTTTGTTCCAATCAAAATTGTGTGTATCCAATATTTTACCTAAAAAGTGTTCAGTTTCTGGTATTGGTCTGCAGAAATTTTTCTTGCTGACTGGTTTTCAAATTGAAATTTGATTTCGTGTTGGGCTGCATTATTTTTCTAAGTTTGGATGAGACATAGTATTTGATTTTAGGCAATCCGAAGGTATTTGGGATTTGAGTTTGTGCACATGAAGATACTCGTTTAGCAGGAGTTAGGTGCGATAAATCGACCTCTGGGGTAAACCCTGCACGCTTCGGCTGCGCGATCCTGCTTGAAGAATTAAACCAGACTCTCAGTTTCATTTTATATTTTTTCCATTGATCTTTTCTGCTTGGTTGCATTTTTTTGTGGTTTGTTTTTTTTTTCGTCATGAGATTTAAGCCCTCGTAATGGACGTAAAACTTTATTTTATATCAATCAAAAAAGTGTGTATTCAATAATTTACTTGACAAATATTCCGTTTTTGGTGCTGGTCTGGAGAATTTTTTCTTGCTATCTCGTTTTTTAATTGAAATTGGATTCCATTATTTTTTCCACGTTTGGATGAGACAGAGTATTTAAGTTTAAGGAATCCGAAGGTATATGGGATTTGAATTAGTGCACATGAAGCTTCTTGTTTAGCAGGAGGTAGTTTTGATCTACCGACCTCTGGGTTATCGGCCCAGCACGCTTACGCTGCGCAATCCTGCTCGAAGAATGAAAACAGAATCTCAGTTTCATTTTTATTAATTTCCATAGATCTTTTCCTTTCTGATTGCATATTTTCTGGTGGTTTGTTCATTTTTTATGAGTTTTAAGCCTCATAATGGATGTAAAACTTTATTTGATTTCAATCAAAATGTGTATTTAATATTATACTTAAAGTTATTCAGTTTTTGGTGTTGGTCTGCAGAAGTTTTTCTTGCTGTCTGGTTTTCAAAATGAAATTGCACTTCGTGTTGGGTTGCATTAATTTTTCCAAGTTTGGATAAGACAGAGTGTTTGATTTAAAAAAAAACTCCGAGGTATATTGGGTTTGAGTTTCTGCACTTGTAGTTTCTACTTTAACAGTAGCTAGTTTCGATCTACCGTCTTCTGTGATATGGTCCCAGCACGCTTCCGCTGCGCTTTTAGACCTGCTTGAACAATTAAAACGGACTCTCGGAATCACTCAGTTAGAAAGTCAAAAAATTACAGAATAAAAAACCGAAGCAAGCGGTCGCTACTTGCCAAAGTTAGTTTTGAATTAATTTTGATTTTTGCCAGTTGTCGCTCTGCGTAAACTTTGAGTTTTTTTATTGCGAGTTCTAGGTCATCGGCGGACGTTTTCATAACCAGTTTTTGTCTCGAGTTTGACAACTTATTCTGCTGGAATCATGACTGATATAACAAATCATGTCGCTGGGGCAAAAATTAAAGATACTCAATTTGTAGAGGGATGAAATAGTTGTGGTTTGCACCATAATTTCTAGATCTGTTCTTTGATTCGTACTTTTAGTGGTGACTATGTATGACGTACCTATATTATGTTATTAAGTAATTAATTAGTAATATCAAGGTCATCGCTTAAATTAGCGTAACCATCACTTACCGTCATTGGCGACGGCATTTAATTAAATTCAAGTTGATTCTCTTATGTCTTATCATACTTTAACTTGTAACTACGAGGTGTCTTCCACATTGCTTAAGCTGTTTCTGGCTCGAAAAAATTCATCTTCTTCATTATTATGATTTATCGAATATTTCAGTTCTATAAATTAACAATGGTTTAATCATCAAATTTTCAGAGTTATGGACACAACTTTGTCGAACAAGTCAGATTTTTAAAAAATCAACCACCAGAATTGATACTTACAATGTTGTATTTCGCCTATTAATGTTGATACTGTGAGGAAATTTTGCTGTCCCTGTTGCTGAATATGTTTGTTTTTACGCCTTCAAGTTGGACAAAAAATCTTATTTTCATCACTATTTTTACGAATTTTTGGTCAGTCAGATTAGAATTTTTGCACTTAATGCTGAGAGTTTTGTCGAAATGGCGGTCCTGGTCAATACGGGGCTTTTTATGTGTCATTTTTTTCCGAAAACTGATTTGTTTTATATAATTGCTTGTATTCCTGGACTAATCTAATACAACATCATCATTATTTGAGTTCCATTAGCTAAATAGAAAATCCGTTTTTTTTTGGAAAGTCGGAAAAATAACTAATATTGGACCAATTTAACAATCCGTTTAGGGGGAAGTTCGGAGTAGAAAATTTCCGCCAATCAGAACGCAGCATTTTACATGCAGCGCTTCACAATTGAACGCTCGGTTGGAGGATGTTGAATTGAGCTCTAATTTTAACTTTAGATGAAAGCTCTAGCGGGAGTGGATGGGGCTAACAAGTCAACTGAGACTAAAGAACAGAAGATGAAGAGAACTGTGAAAGAGATCATCCAGATGTCAACTGGAGTCCAGTTCTTCGTCCTATCTGTGGCCGGGTCAGACGGGGTCATTGACACTCCTGATGACTCATCGAGTAGTCTGGAACAGTCAAATAAGTCTAAAGGTCAGTCAACTTGGGTTTCTGATAACTGGGGCAGATTTAGTTGATGTCCCTTCACCAACCAAACTACCTGGCCATCAAGTTATGAACGTAAACAGTCGATAAAATTTTTGAATTTTTTCGGAACATACCTGTCCTGTAAGAAAATCCTAGATCCGCCTCTGTCTGGTAATACTGAAAACAACAGATTATAAAAATGATTCATTGAAGTTCAACCATCGCATTCACTTTTTTTCAGCGCAGTTTTATCGAAGATTTTAAGATTTTTTTTCCGAGCAACAATTAGATGGTTGTCGTTTGCTGAGCGGTTGTTGTTTGCTGAGCGAATGAGGGTTGTTGTTTGCTGAGCGAATGAGCTCGTATAGCGAACCATGGTGCAATTGTTGTAAATTTACTTTATTTGGTGGCATTTGAATTAAAACTAAATAGATGTTTCAAGGAATATAGAACACTTGACTTTGTCATATGATGGAAACAAGATTATGATTTTGAAACTTGACTAAAAAAATCAAAGTTTCGTTCCAGGTAAAGGAAAGTTGGGTGATTCGGGAGACGGAATTGAGCTGACGGAAGACGACATCTCTGAATCGACTGTGGAGGCGAAAGACAAGGGGACGACTGGGGGTGCTGCCGACGAGCAACAGTTTCCCGAGGACTCGAATGAGGATCCGGAAGACGAGGAGGCGGACGGCACTACTGTTCATCCTCAACGGAATCACTTGAATACGTGTGCACTGCCGAGGTCACACTTCCAAAAGGTTCGTGTCATTACATTAATTAGACTAGTGTTATTGTTCCGACTATTGAAAGTCGGGAGGAACTCTGTATTCAAGTGTTTTTTTTATTAGTTTTTTGCTTTCCACCCAAAATGATGTACCACAAATAATCCTCAGAAATTTCCAGTGATATATCATAATAAAACTCTTTCTGCCGTGATTCGGAAGATCTTAAAAAAGTTCTAAAAGTTGTCCCAGTGTCGAGAAAAAAAAGCGGTTTGAAACTTGAATTTTAGTCTAATTTCGATCGAGTAACGTAGGCTATATAAAAATTGTTTATTTTGGATTAGAAAGTTTGATTTAAAGAAATAGAAATGTGTTTTCAGAGCTTCCTTTAGCGCTTACTTGAAAAAATAAAGTCAAAAAAGATGAAGAAGATTTAGTGCTTAACATTTACAACAAATTTAAGAAAATTTTTCAAATTTTTTTCTTTTTTTTTTTTAGCTTTTTGTCAATTTTTTGAGACGAAAATAAATTGTTGAATAAGCTTTATTCATTAACTTTTCCGCGTTCGTCTATTTTTCTTAACATATCACGCATAAAACATGGCACTAAATTGAAAAAAAAAAAAAGAAAAAAAAAAACGTTTTCTTTTATCTTTTAAATGAACTTGGTCGGAACATCCTGTGCTACTTGCACAGTAACCGGTTAATCTTGTTTTCTTTAAATTGTCGTGATTGTCATTTTTTGAAAGATCATTTCAATCACTCCACGAGTACAATCATTTTTTCGAGTTTTGAAAGTGTTCTTTTATATAGAAATTTCACTGTAGCATTGAAAATTGAATAGCATAGTATCTGTTCTCTGCTTTACTTGTGACTAGAGTTTGTCAGTGATTAATAGTCCGTAGCTGAATGGTTAGTGCGCGAGAATTATAGTTTCTAGGACTCAATAGGTTGTAGATTCCAATCCGATACCTAGTTGAAGTTTTACTAATTCAAGGCTTCTTTCTACTTTTCAATTTTGCACTTCATAGAGCTGTTTTTTTTCATGTTCTCACTAGTGTTTGCAAAGCGCAGCTTCGCCTCTGTGTAAACCATGTTTTTTCCGACCACTGGAGGCTAAAGACTTCGTTCAGATCTTTTCTACACACCACAATCAAAAAATGAACAACACAATTTAAAAATATGTATAAACTGTTTTTATGATTAATTTTTTAAATTTTGTGGTCGGAAGTTTTTGTGCGACTTGCACAGCAACCGGCTATCCTTGCCTAACTTTGACAACTGGTCGTATCCAATAAAAATTTTGAAATTTTGAATTTTTTGTCAATGGTGATATGAGCTATAACCAAATATTAATAAAAAATCATTTTTATCTTTGAGAGTTATAATTATTTTAACTGTGGGGAATTCACTTAAGGGGACTTCACAAGTTTTTCAATTAATTTTTTGAGAATAAATTGTTTTCAGCCAGCCAAATTTGTGCATTAATATCTTTGGTTGCCAGATTTTGATCGTTACGAATATGGGCGGATGTTTTTAGACAATCAAGATTTGTATATTCATGAATCTGGAAGAAATTCTGAAAAGATTTGATTGAATATGTTCACACAAGCAATGCTTGTTTTATAGTATGAACTATCTTTTTTTCAACCTAAGTCGCAAATATTGTTGATAAAATGAGTTCATTTTGAAAGTGTTCATTTTGATCAATAACCAACTACTAAGTACAGCCAATGCTAAGGATTTTAACACGGACTATTATTGCTTCGACTTTCGTAACAAAAATAATGGAATATTTGTGCTCGGGTGGTTTTTTTTCTTTGGACAATTTTCGTTTTTTTAACTAGCCATTTTTGACGGGATTTTTTTTATCATTCAAAAAGTATTGTTGTCCTGAGCTTAAATTTGGAAAGATATTTCATCTATTATTATTTTTTGTTAACTAATGGGGTTTAAAAATTGCCATTTAGGGCAATTTGGGACAATTAATGCGCGATAAATATCGTGCTATTAACGCGTAAGCGGAGATTTAATCCGTCTTAGAAATCTTTCCAAATTGGTTCCAGGAAGCTTGTTTGCCATATTTGATTTGTTACTCGGAGCAAAATCTATCACTTTGTACTTTGTATGGCGTGTGGGTGGGAACGCAATTTTTTCTTAATATTTCGATGATTTAAAAAAAATCGAAAAAAACTTTGATTTTTTTAGTTTTTCTTTTAATTTCACTTATTATCTAAGACCTAACACTAATCCATTGACGTTAAAAATCAAATGGAACAATCAATACTTTGCACTGATACGAGCCAGCAACAAAATAAGTGGGTTTGAGCCTGGGCAGGATCGGATGTTTTATACAAACTTTTCGTATACTAGCTAAAATGCGTCCCCTCTATAAATTGAGACATGTTAGTTGGTAATTTTTTTTTTCAAATAGACTGGTACTGCTAATGCGTCATAATTGGCTTTCGTCACTTAGCAGTTATGTAGACTCATAATTGCCGTGCGTGACTGAAGTATTTTTGTAGACTCAAAGTTTTACTCATTAAGTTTTTCCCAGTAGCGTTATCGGTCATTATTTTGCTTGTGTATGCGAAGAGCAACTTGGCCTCTGTGTTGAATGATTGATATTCATTTGATATGATCGGGTCAACAGTTTTGCATCTCTTTAAATATCCCCATTTGCAAAAGTGGGAGATTTGTTTCGAAGTACCAGGGGGGGGGGGGACTGATAGTTAAAGATCCAAATTTTCTGCCACCAAGATTTTCTGCTAAGAGAGTGGCCCTTTGATTTTTTTAACAACAGGTGAAGCGCGAGATGCGTCATCACTTCCTGGAGCAGCTGGAAAAGTGGCGCAAGGAGTCTGACCAGAGGGCAAACAGCATAGTGAGCGCCAAGACGAACGAGCTGAAGAATGAGTTGCAGCTGAAGTTGCACCTGCATGAACCCAGGGCCAAGAGGGCCGAGATAGACATTCACAATGTCAGAGCCGGTCAGTTCACATTTTCCAGTTCATCTTGAGTTCAAATTTCGGAAAGTTTTTTGGAAGACATTTTGAGTTCGTGTTTTTTGAGTTCATTTTGAACTCATGTTTGCATATAAGTATATATGGTCTAGGTTTGAATTCTTATTAAGAGAAATGAACGTTGTGAGTACTTTTAGGTAGGTCCTGAATATTTTTTTAAAATTTTTTTCTTGGAAAAAGTGTTAAAATTTGATTACTCTCAATTTTGATTTTTCGCGATTTGACTTTTGATTTCTTTTTAAGTTCAGTTCGTTTCTTTGGCTAATTTTTAATTACTCGGCTTGTTTTTTTAAGTATGAATTAGAAATAGAGCAAATTACAAAAGTATTTTGCAAATGGAACCTAGACAATCGGAGACGCTTATCTCCTCGGTAGTCTCAAGGCTCCAATTTTACTGTTTTGCATTTTTTTTGTAAATAATAATAATTTTATTTTCGCAATTTTTTTTGTAAATAATAATAATTTAATTTTTAAGCCAAAACTTATAAACATACATTCCATGAAATTGTACGTTGACAATTTAGTTCGACTTGGGAGAATACCAAAAAGGCATCAGCCTTTCGGGTTGCATCTCTTTTTTACATAATTTTCTACTTAATTCTTAATCTCATTCAGACATGATTTTGATCGCCGATGTGTTAAATTTGCTACGAAAATCGGATATTTGGAATCACTTTTGGTACGAAAGAGTTTAATAGCTCTATTTCGAAGCTTTGCTTCCAATTTCATTACCAGCCAATTGTGCGGTATATTTTTCCCCAATTTGTCAATGGAACCGAAAACAGACAAGGGACGACTTAGTTGCGGGTTTCAAAGCAGAACTTAATTTCCTTTGACCTTTTTAATGTTTTCAGCCGAGTTGGTGATGCATTCGGAAAGAGTAGACCGACACATCAAAGGTGTGAATCAGACTCTCAACGACTTGCGGAAAGAGTTTGTAGACATGTCTTCCAAACACGACTCGTTCCACGACAACTTCAAGACTGCCATTCAGGCTCTGGAAGCCGTGTTTGTCAATGCTACCAAATCTCAGAAACTACAGGTAGGCGATGACCTTGCTGCAAAAAAAACACGTTTTTTTTTCGAAAACAAGGTTTTGATGTGAGAACTAAAGTATGTTGTTGATTTCATGCTCTTAACTATATTATTATATTAAAAAATTTTGGATGCCAATTATTAAAATGAAAAAAAAAAGGTTCTGAGAGTAATTGCATGCTTCGAAAGACTATAATGAACCCGCATTCATATCATTACTGGGCACCGTCACTGCCGATGCGCCATTTTAAAAAAATGAAAGCTTTGTCGACCTTTTTACTATGTCGACCAAATTGATTTTCATAGCTCTCCTAAAAGCACTAAACAGACCCCTTCTTTCGAAAAATTTTGAAAAAAAACAGGCGTGAAAAAAAAATGTTGACCAAAAAAAAATTTTGAAAAAAATGTTGACCAAAAAATCGCGTTTTTTCGACGCGCGCTCCCCTCTCAAAATTAGTATATATTGGCGCCTAAGACTCCTTTAGAAAAATTTTCGGGTCCGTCACCAAAAATGGATATCTCAAATAAGTACAAAATGAGGACCCTTTGGGTCGGCAGGGGGTCAAATTCCTGAGGGAAGAGAGATAGTCCGCCACCGCCCGCCCTCCCCCTAAATCCGCTGCTGATTACAGGGTTGGCACTATAAAAACATTCTGCAGATCTTGAATAAAATACCGTGCGTACCGTACCGCCCATGTATACAGTTAACAACTAAGGCCAACATCCATCAAGCTTTTGGGAATGATGTTTATTGTTTTTTAGTTAACCAGCCAGAGCTCTACCCCGAAGGTTAATTATTTAAGGTTAACTAAGCCTTGGTTATTTTACAAGAGCTCAACGTTGTAAGTTGCAGCGGACGTGCGATTTGAACCAGCAATCATATGATTGCTGGGTACCATCGCTAGTGATGCGCCACAACGCTACGTTTCCTCTGTGTTTCCAGGAGATCCAGACACAGCTGAAAAAGGAGAAGGGCTTGTACATGGACCAGATCCGGAGTGACCTGAGGAGCTTCCGGCAGAAGATGGACGACACGAGCCAGATGTTGCGGGAGGCCAACAGTCGCTTCATCAAGGGATTCAAGTCAGTCATGATGCTTTTGTGTGCAGACACACGCGTACCATCTGAGAATTTGTAAAAAAAAAATGAGAATGTTATTATCAATGGAAAGTAATGAATGTTTTGACTGAATAATCCGGCGCTGCCTGAAGCAAATTTTTTTGAAACGTTTTATATGAAACTTTCAGAAAAATTTAAATATGTATTCATTGGCTCAGCCCGAACAGAAACATTCTGTGTTTTTTATCAAAACTTTTATCAGAACTATAAAGTGGATTGCAAAAGCTCTACAACTTGTTATGAACGCCATGAGAAAAAAAAACAGTGTATAGCAGTTTTTTAAAATAAATAAATTAAAGCATCTCTGTTCTCTTAGATTCTTAATCAGTTTTCATACATTTTTAACCTTGAAAGTATATGTTCACAATGTTTTGTCATAATTTTGCTATTATCGTACAATATTATGTACCCATTTTTGGGCGAAAAAAAATCTGAAAGGAGAACTTTTGTTTAAAACCTGAAAAATCTTATTAAAGCCAGTTTTTAACGCTTTTCACATCTCTTGTTCAGTAAACTAATGCCTCTGTCTAGTGATATCTTATATCTCTATTGCTGTTTTGTGAGGTTTGTCAATTTTTCAAGGTGTGTGTTTTGTTCCAGGGTGTTTTCGGAGGGGGGCAATTTCTGTGTGGAAGAGATAGGAGAGTACAAGGGCCAGTTGGACCGAGTGAGTGGCCAGATTGAACAGACCGAGGGGGTGATCATGGCCGATCTGGAGAGTATGGAGAGCAGCAGGATGGACAAGGCTAACCAAGTCTGCTCCAACTTCGAAAACAAGTCAGCACACCATTACCATTACAGCCCCCTACCAATCAATCACCTGTGATTTTTGTTCTGAAATGTGTCAGTGTACTGAAACGTGTCGGTATGAGAGAATGAACACTTTTGAACTTTTTTTCGTTCATACAAATTGTGACATTAACAAGTTTGTACTAATTTATTTTGTATTTTACGAGAAGGCGTGGAGAGAGAATTTGGGGTTTTCTCTCTTAAACGGCCTAAAAATGATCTTATTGCTGTTTTGAAAGTTTGATCACAATGCTCAAATCTGACTGGTTGAAATTAATATCAGCGAAAAAAGTGTCCAATGAAAACCTGCTCAACTGAAAGTTTTGATATTTTTGGACCGTATAACAGAAAAGACCCAGATTTTGTACCTGAATTTTTAATCGAATCTTAATTGTGAATGTTAACTATAATTTTGTTTCGCTTTTTGTACTTTTAAAAAAAAATGTTTTAAATGTTCTTTTTCTGATGAAAAGTCAAAATTGCCGACCATTTCTGTGGTTTAAGGTTCAAGCACCACATGGCAGATTTGACCTTCATTGAGAAGTTGTCCCGATGGCTGACCAACACCCAGGTGAAGATTAAGACGGAGGCATCAGAGAGCAACACTCAGAGCCAGACTCTGGCACTCCTTCTGAGCAAGATAGATCGGAAAATAAACGCCATCCAACATCCATCGCCGGATAAAGAGAACCTCACTGCGATCGACCTACAGGCTAGCTTCTATTCTTTCCTCCATTTTTATCAAGAAACATTTTCAGCTTATTCTACTAAAGTAATGTTTTCAGATGTTTTTAAATATGAAATTTGGCTTTCCAAACAATGTTTAAATAAGAAGAAAAAACATCATAAATGTGATCAAGTTTTAATCATTTAGCGCCATTTTTGTTGTTCAAAATCTCATTTTTGGCTGGTTTTGTTTTTCAAAAATTTGCCTGCTGCTTCGAAAATTTGATTGCGGCTTGATGTTTTTCAAGTGCTTTGGGAGAGCTCGGAAATTCAACTTGGTGGTAAAGGTTGGAAACTTTTTTTTTCAGTTTTTCGAAAATCGGATTCCTCTCGCTCGAGAATTTTTTAAAGATCTGCCCTGAAAATGATTAAAACGTGCTGTTTAAGGAGTGGCTAGTGACAGTGTTTGACACGTTCAATGCCAGGGCAGAGTATCTAAACTGTCTGAAGGTGCCAGTGACTCAGTCCCAAGCTGCTGGGAACCCCTCACAGGTATATGACTTCTAACTCCTACATGCACTTCAGCTTGATAATTAATTCTTCTTTCAAATTCTTCGTTTCAATCATGAGAGAATTTATAATTTTCAGATTTTGTTTATTTTTAAGACGATTTATCAACAAGGAAAAGGAGCAAAATACGAAATGTTGAGCTCATTATGGAGAACCCAAGCTGTTAAGAGTTACACGCCAGTTTTTTTTTCTGGCTAGGAAATTGCCTGAGTTTTCTGAAAACTGATGTTGTGCCTCTCGTTAAAAATTACAAGCAACGTTTTTTTATCGAGTTGCCTCGCCCTCAAGTAGTGATCAGGATCATGATGGGCCTCGAACAGACGACCTTTTGATTGAGAAGCGGAAGCGTAACCTCTTTGATTTCTGCCTTGAGATTTTTAATAAGTTTTCGGTGACCAAATACATGACATACATCAATTAAAATATTGAAATAAAAATTCACTAATTTCATTGCTCTTCGCTATCCATGGTACGTTTTGCGAAGGGGGGGGGGTAAATAAAGATACTTAAATTATTAACTTCATTCTCCAGCTGCAGCCTCATCCGCAGTCGGGACTAGCGTCCATGCCGACTAGTCTGAAAAGGAAGACTTCTAGGATGCAGCAGATGTCTACCTCGAATGTATGTCACGCCCTTTGCTTGCTTCCAAATTGGTTTTTGCACCAGATAGTTGTTTTTCTTTCTTTTATTCTTCCTGTGCGCATATAGTGTTAATCTTGAGCGTTTGTGCTTCTCTAATTTAGGTTATGCATTGAAATAAGTTCACTTTTCGTTTTAATATGAGTTTTTGTTATAGAAAAAAAAACAATCGAATTTGGCGAGAGAATATTTGATTTCAAATTAGCTGTTTTAATACCAACGTTGACGAATATATGTTTTTAATATAATGGGATCTTGTTAACTATTTCCCCCTATTTCGATTTTCAGAAATTCAACTTTGGCTGTCACCTTTTCAATAATTTAAAACAAGTTTCAGAAAATATATTTCTAATGTATATATTTCTAATGTATGAAAGTTCTAATGTATGTATTCAGGGGCGGATGTAGAGGGGAGGGGTTGAGATGGACGCACACCCCCCTCACCCCTCAGGGATTCGACCTCCTCGCCAACTAAAGGCTCCCCCTTTGGTATTGTTTTATGACATTCAATTAATTGTGTACATTTTTGAAATGCTCATTTTAAACAGAAATGGATATTAAAATATAACCTGCATAGGGGGAATTTGTTAACAAGGTTCAAAAGGGGGAGGCTGGGAAATAGTTAACACATCTATATAAACTAGCAAAGTTTATATCTCAACAAGACTGCTCGTATCAGGGCAAAGCCCTGAATGTTCCGACTGCCTTTTCAGGTTTATCGAGCAGTAGTAACATAAAAAAAAATTAAATATAATAAAAAAAAATGGAAAAAAAATTTCTAAAATTTGAAATTTTTTTATGAAATCAATCATACCCCCACACGCCATATAAAGTTTAAAAGAATAGATTTTGCTCATTACAACAAAACAATTATGGCAAATAAGCTTCTTTCAACCAATTTGGAACGATTTAAAAGACGGATTAAATCTCCGCTTACGCGTTAATAGCGCGAAATATATCGCGCGTTAATTGTCCCAAATTGACCAAAATGGCAATATTTAAACCCTCATAACTTTACGAAAAATGATCACAGGTGAAATATCTTTTCAAATTTAAGCTCAGGACAACAATATTTTTTGAATGATATAAAAAATTTTTGTCAAAAATGGCTAGTTAAAAAGTCGAAATTTGTCTGAAGAAAAAAAAAACCCACCCCGAGCACAAATATTCCGTCACTTTCGTATCGAAAGTCGGAACAATGACTCTTTTAGCGGCCATCTTTAGCTTGTTTTATTTTTCTCACGCGCAGTGTATTATGTGATTTAATTTGCCTCCGTTATTACGTTATTTAAATGAAAATAAGAAGCTTCGAGATAAAAATGCTGTTAATTCTTGTCCAGACAAGGGCGCGGTAAAACCGAGTTAAAGCGAATCAACTCCATCAGCTTTTTTAACCGAAATGTCTGCTTTCATACCAGCGCAAACCATAATAAAGAACCGATAAGTTACTCTTTGCCTTATATATAAGTTTGTTTGTTTAAAAACCATTTAATATGTTTGATTTTTTTGAGAAAATGTATTTTTATGACGATTTAAATGAAGATAAAATGTATTTTTATGATGATTTTTATGACTAAAGGAGCAACATACTTTGGAGAACGCCCGCTCTTAAAACTTTCATGCAATTTTTTTTCTGGTTAAAGAATACTGCATGATATTTTCTTAGACCTGATAATGTAAGCGGATTCCGCGACAAGGACGCTCCCTTTGTTGTCCTTTTGTTTTTTCAATTTCTTTGATCGTTTCGACAAAATTTTAACATGTTTAAAGATTTGTCTCTGGAATCCAGGATTACACAGACCAAAATTGTGCGCCTATCCAGTGCATAGTTTGGCCTCGTAATGTTCGCTGCTCTTCTCTAAAAATTGTAGGTTTTACAAATGCCCGGTAGTTAAAGAGACCGAATTTATTGATTTTTTTTCGCCAGTTGCAGCCTCATGCGCAGTCTGGATTAGAGTCCATGTCGACTAGTCTGGAAAGGAAGACTTCTAAGATGCAACAGATGTCTACCTGGAATGTATGTCAATGCGCTTAGCTTGCTTTATGTTTGGCTTTTCCAGCAGACAGTTGTTTTTCTTTCTTACTTTCTTTCTATGATTCTTACTGTGATTATATAGTATTAATCTAATCGTTTGTCTTATCTGAAAAGTTCATTTTTTGTACTAGTTTGAGATTTTAAAAAACATAGAAATTGGTGAGAGCATATTTGATTTCACACGATCTGCACTCATATCAAAGCTGAAAAATTTATTTGATATACTTTAAGTTTTTTTTTCTCCAGTTTTAAAGAGTCGAAGAACGTAGTTGAAATTTTTATCTATGTCGCGATGATTTTTTTTCAGGAAAAGTTTTAAAATTTGCTCGATTTTTAAAGCTCAGCTCGTTTCCTCTGATAACTCCACTATCTTAGAGAAAAAAGCGTAAGAGTCATTAAAATTGTGGTCAAATTCTTGTTTCGAAAGTGGAATTCAGTATCCAGATTTCCCATCGAATTAAAAACCTTAATTATTAAACCTCTTTTCTCAAAATTGCTTATTTCTATCAATCAGTTGCCAATCATTAATTGCTCTAGAAGTTCAAAGCAGTCAAAAGGCGCCCATTTTTTCTTTAAAATTCGAAAATTGAGAGTTTTTCAAAAAAAGAAGTCCGTTTTTTTTTCTGTTTACTTGCGTTCATTTGCTCTTTTCCAACTCTTTGTTGGCTATGTTCATGTTTTGGCGGAGATACTTAATTTAAAATTGATTTGCAACGAAAAGCCTACCTTATAATTTTGTTTCCATATTTTCATATTGTTTGAATGGCAAATGTTAAGAAAATCAGAATAAAATTTGTTTATAATATGTATATGGTCTGTATAAAATCTGTATATAATCTGTATATAGTCTGTATATAATCTTTATGTAATCAGTATATAATCTGCAGACAATTTTTAGATAATCGGTATGTAATCTGTATACGATCTTTATATCGTATGCATGAAATTTGATACCGAAAAAAGCTGTGGTGTGTTTTGGTAATGATATATATTGAAGATATACAGTACAAAACTTTTGCAAAACAAAATGCATTATTATCGATTATCAAAACTACATAATCGATGTTTTATTATATAGAATTACAACAGATCTGAAATCTGTGTTTTTTCCTGTCGATAATCGGTTTTTAGTCATTTTGTCATTGCGAGTCGCTACTTACGCATTGCATTACCTATGAAAAAAAAACTGCAATTAAAATACGCAATTACTCTTAATTGACAAATTATTAATAATCAGACCCGAAATTGAGAGTAAGAAAACTTCCGATTACTTTAAAAGTAGAGCAAGACTGCTCGTTTATCAGTGCAAAGCCTTGAATGTTCCGATTGCCTCCTAATCATTATTGAATTATTTTTTGGGAAAAGAGTATCATGAAAAACTACAATTTTTGGACAATATCCAATCGTTCACAAATTGAGTCGTACGAAATTAATACGACATATTAGAAAGCCTCAATTTAATTTATAACAATTTTGTTGTGCGGGATATATCACCACGCATAAATAACTTGGTTTACATTTTTAACATTATGAATAAAATCTACAAAGGGCGCATAAATTCTTCCAGAGCATGGCTAAGTTGGCAATTTTCAAACTCCCAGATCTTAGCAAAAAATGATCGGAGGTAAATTATCTTTTATAAATTTGTTTTTCGGAATCGATATTTTCAATGGGGCATAAAAATTTTTTGATCGGAATATTCAGGGCTTCACCTTGATACGAGTAGCCTTGTTGTAGTTTCAAAGCAATTAAAACGTATAAATATGTTTTTTTTTGTTTAATTTGTTTCATTGGCTTTTTCCAAATGTTTAATTTTTATTATTTATTTTCTGAGGATTTTCTTTGATAGTTGTTCTCATTAAAAGCTCGATCTTTTCAGGCTGTTTTCGCTAGACTGGAACTTTTTTAAAAAAGTTTTATAAACTTTTTGGAGCAATTATAAATTCCTGTATTAATAATTTCAAAATGTGCTGTTTTTAATGGTGTTACTTCCCAAATTTTACTACCATATTGGCTGGATTGCTCAAAAAGTTGGCATGTTTAAGTTTTCTTCAAAGGGTTAAGGATTCTTACTTTCAGTTTTCTTGCTCTAAGCATGCTTTCCTTAGTTAACATTTCATTGAACGTTTTGAAGATAAAAAGGAAACATTTATGGTTCAATATTTCCTTACAGTTTTATGAGTTTCCCTCATCAGGTATTTTATATGATGTGAGATGAAAACTAAATATACCAAATTTTGTTATTTTTAAACTTTCATCATGAAACTTTGTTTGCAGTGCAATTTGACCTAATAGCTATGCCAAACTTTTATATAACAGACTTCAAAAATTAGCTTGCTTATTTCCCTGTCCTTTGCTTATCAAGGCTCACCTAATCAATAATGAACTTTATTTTCTGTGATATTTTTGACGTATTGTAACTATTTTTCAGCCGGGCAAAGTGGGTTTCTTCGAGAGTGGGACCAAGAAAAGCCAGGACGAATCTACCATGCGGCTGATGAAAAACATATTCAAGTAACATCTGTTTCTGTTTCATTATACTGGTATCGGATAGTCTTTAGAAGCAAGTAATGATATGTTTGTGTGAAACAGTGCTATTAATTTGGAGTTAGAATTGATTGATAAAAAATCTGCGTCTCAAAAATGGGTGTTTGGTTTATAACTAAAAATTGGTTTAGGGTTTATAAATAAACGCAAACTTTGTGCGAGTTTTCAAAACGATGAAAAAAAACTTGACCCAGCCTTTCATTAATGTCCATGTATTGATTTTTTTTATTTGGCCCTCCAAAATGTCCACAGATATCCACCAATTATAGTTTTTCACGCAATTTGTACTTTAAAAAAATTAGCAAGAAGTTATCATGTTTTCAGTGCTCAAAAGACAAAGTTATCCCTCTACCAAGAAGCTTCCCTGGCAGAATCAGGAGGGGGCAAAACTGGAGACGGGGGAGGGGGACTTGGGGATGAGAAGTCACGTGCCACTCTGAGTCGGAGGAGCACCAACATGAGTGACCAGTCGGCCAGTGGGTCGAAACAGAGGGTCTCCTCAGGGGGGCAGGGACTAACTGGGTGGGTGAAATTATTATTTAATTTAAGTGGAGACAAAATGTCCACATGGTTCTATTTCGAAACAAGGATCTAAAAATTAGCCAAAGAAAAAAGGATGTAAAAATTAGCAATCTACGAAAAAGTGACGGATTCTGTCTTAATTTAGTATACCAGATTCCGTATTAATTACCGATTTTTTTCGTCGATTACTTCGGAAGGTTTAAATCGAAAAATCTGATTATTGTTGCGAACTTGCCAGTCCAGAGACCGAAACAGTTTATAAAAAAAAGTTTTAAAAAATTGAAATAGGAGATCCGAACTAAAACGGAAACTGTCAATTAGGTTTTGAGACGAAAACTGTGTCAACCGTAAAAAAGTTTAATATAGTTAAGTGCGATAAGTTTGATAAATACATTATCAAGTATGACTTAGCTTTCAAAATATGTTTTTCTTTCTTTCAGCCGAACCTCCAAATCAAATCCTCTAAAAGGGTAAATTTAGTGTGCACTTTTTGATTGACCTCAACATACTTAAAATGCAAAAAATGAAGCTATTGCAAGAAATCACTTGAAGAAGAAGAAACTTTACTTGTGACTGTGATTTTTAGTTACTTCAAAAAAACATCCCTCGTTTAATTAAAAGCCATGAGAGGTGGAGATCATTATAACCATTAGCAGATCTTTACAATGTGTTAAGCCTAGTGTTATTGCTAATGGAATCAATTTTGATTAATCTCAGTTTTTTATTCCGCTCAAAGCAGCTTGTATTCTACAAGCGTGAGGTTTGATTTTGATCCATATATACTGAGAGTGTATTTAATAGCTCCACATTTTGGTTCTTCTATTTTTCAGCCTATGAGGGCTTTTTTTAGCACACGGAACCCTTGGAACTAAAAAGTCCCGGAGTATCTGGAACTTTTGGTTGCATTTGCTGAAAAAGCCCTGATTGGTTGAAAACTAAGAGGCGCACCAAATTGAGGAGCTAATAATCATAATCTCAGATGTAGATCTGAATTATAATTCAAGGTTGAAGATTACAGGATGTTTTGAACGCACCGAAAGACTGGAATAAATAAGGATTTGTTCGCAATCGCAATACTTACAACCTTCATGATAAACACAGATTTCTCTTCCAACTTTCAAATGCAAAATATTATTTTGCTTGAAGAGCGATCAGCTGGTATCTTTTGTGTATGTCTGTGGTCTAATTTAGATAGTTGATTTTGGATTTTTTTCTACATGCCGATGTTATCTGATTTTTTTAGGAGTAGTTTGAGCATGTGTTTCTTATAAACCAATTTTGTCAGTCCAAAAGGATTTAGTTGAATTTTGGTTCGTTGAGTTCTATTTATTTGATACACATCACTTCTGTTTTTGTTTTACCAGCAGATATGTTCTGACTTTGCCTGGAGTAGTTCGAGCATGTTTTTGGTTTAAACGGATTTTTGTCCAAAAAAGTTTAGTTGAATTTTTGTCTAACTCAGGCGTTGTTGTTCCAGCACAACTTATGTCAGGTCAGTTAGTATACCAAATCCTGCTTTTTTTTACTACTGGTCATACTTTAGATATATAACTCTGAAACTGCTTCTATTGTCATTTTTTAAAAAACTGCGAACAGCTTGGAAACTTTAGTTGTAGATCATCACATCAATTGGCCATCAAAGCGCATCCCGCAAAGCGTCTCCTCAAATTGACTGAATAATGTCGGTTTGATCGTATTCTTCTGCATTTTCATACCTGAATTTCTGATTTTAATTAGCAATTGCTTTTTCTTGAAGTTTGATATAAGTAATTTCGTGAAGACCTTTTTTCGTATGCTAATATCAAATGCGATTGTAAAAATTCTAATTTCAAGATATTGGTTTATTTGATACATTTGATACCGTTTTCGAACTCTCAAAAATGCTGTCGTAACAAGAAAAATGGGCCAAAACTTGTAAAGTATATTTAATATTACCACTGCTTGATGTTTATTGTTTGATGCATGCAGTACTCGAAGAGGGAGCAAGGGGATCCGGTTCGACAAGAAGTACCTGGTGTTCGGAGACAAGAGTCCCGAGGGAACCCACTTCCAGGCCAACATCCAGCGCATACTCCAGTACACCTTAGAAGGCATGCTAGTCGTATCAGATGTGAGTACACGTGTAATAATTGCAGCCAGAGTTATGAAAATGTTAAGACATGTATTTTTCAGGACTTGAGAACAAAAAAATATATCCCAAATAAATATTCAATGCGATGTTGTCTAAAAGGCATGCAAACAGTAGCGTGCCGAGGGTGGGGGTTTTGAACGCCCCTATCTCAATTCTTGACGACATCCATTTTTGGCTGATCAAATTCAACAGTTTTCTTCGGTTCAAGCGTTTTCGGCGCCAATTAAATTAAATTTGAGGGGGAACGCGCGCCGAAAAAAGGCAATTTTTTTTGGTCAATTTTTTAGTCATTTTTTTTAGCTCAAAAAATATATAAATAGAATTTTTTTAAAACTTTTATTTAGTCTTACTACCGCAACAAAGGTCTCCGGGCCATCACGCGACCCCAGGCCATCCAGGACTCGTTTGACTCGTGTGCTGACGTCATAGGCACGAAGCTGCAGAACTACCAGTCGCAGGCAGAGAACTTCTACAACAACACTTTGCAGGTAAAAGTCATTCAAGTCTCCAGCATCGCACAATTTGGGCCGAGTTAATTGATCTTGGCACAATTTGAAATTTGGTTGCCAATATCAATAATACTTAACAAACCGCTCAAATCTTGCGCGGTTTTTGAGCGTTTTTTTTTAGATGAACCGTTGCAAAACTGCTCGAACCGCTCATTTTGAAGCAAGATTTTGAGCGTAATTGTCTAAAAAAACCGCTCAAACCGCTCAAATCTTGCTTCAAATTAGGTGAAAAATCTCGACTCGGGTATTAATAATAAATGGCTTTCAGCTCTTATAATAAATGGCTCTTATCAACTCCAGTTAATTACAAAATAAGGCAGACACATTGAAAATTGAGTATTCCGAAACTGTTGGTTTTGAGTATTCCGAAACTGTTGGTTTTTTGATACCAAGCTTCATTATGATGTCCATAACTGGATTTTGATTTCCATTTAGGGACTCAATTATTGAAGGCTAGACTTTTTTTCTCCTTAAATCAGTTTTCATGTAACATAATCCTTCTCACGATCTGTCGATCATGTTTAAACATGGATACCATTCAGGAGTTCCGACAGCAGATCCGAGACCTGGAGGCGAAGGTGTCTCTGGTTCCCGAATTGGTGATCAAACAGTTTTTCCAAGAGCGAATCGCAACTCTGAGAGATACGAAACCCAGTCCGGAGTTGCTGGAGAAAAGTGAGCTACTAGCCAAGAAACGATCGGTTAGTATTTCATCTTCGCTTATTACACTTCCTTTGATGGATCTCTTCAACTATTTCCCCCTTTTGTAAAAGGGGGGAGGTTCTTTACTAGGTACAAAGCTTACCTATGCTTAACCATAGAATTATTTCTTTATTCGTTACTATGTTCACTTGGGTGGGGGATGTTTAAAGAGATTCCTTTTGATCTACGACCACCTAACTTATTTTAGCGTAATTTTAAAATTGAAGAAATTTAGAACTGATTTTTAGGATATAATGTACGCAATTGAAACAAGACTGCTCGCATCAGGGCGAAGCCCTGAATGTTCCGACTGCCTTTTAAGGTATTATGGAGCAGTAATAACATTAAAAATTAAATGTATTAAATAAAATGAAAATTTTTTTTTTGTAAAATTTGAAGTTTTTTATGAAAATCATCTCCCCACACGCCATACAAAGTACAAAAGGATAGATTTCGCTCCTTGTAACAAATCAATTATGACAAATAAGCTTCTTTTAACCAATTTGGAACGATTTTAAGACGGATTAACTCTCCGCTTACGCGTTAATAGCGCGAAATATATCGCGAGTTAATTGTCCCAAATTGGCCAAAATGGCAATCTTTAAACCACCATAACTTTACGAAAAATGATCACAGGTGAAATATCTTTTCAAATTTGAGCTCAGGGCAACGATATCTTTTGAATGATATAAAAAAATTCCGTCAAAAATGGCCAGTTAAAAAGTCGAAATTTGTCTGAAGAAAAAAAAACCCACCCCGAGCACAAATATTCCGTTACTTTCGTACCGAAAGTCGGAACAATAAGTAGATTTTGAAGTTGTTTTGAAGTTGGACATCCGAATCCATATTACAATCTTTGGAAATTCGGTTTTTTGTACTCATTCTTCTCGTTATGAGCGTATTGTTCAGACTTTTGAGTAAAGTGATGAATATATATATATGCTCGGTGTAGTTTTTTAATCAGGCCAACTTTCAAAAGAAATTTACTCTCGGAGGATCGATCCCTGGATCTTTCTGCGCTCCGACGTGTTCGAACACCACTATTTTAATTTGGCTCAAGTATAGCTAAAATGCTCGTTTTATGCTTTGATACCGAAAGTGTAACGCGCATTATTTACGCGTGGCGATTTATCCCGCACTACAAATCGTTCAAAGTTGATTTGAAGCCAGCTAATAAGTCTTAATAATTCCGCACTCTAGTCAAATTTTGAAACACTGTGAATTTTAGGCCGCTAAGATCATAGTGTGTCAAGATTTCATTAATCAAAAGCTATTCCGGACCAGTTAATGAGCGGTCGGAACTCTCAGGGCTTTGACCTGATATACAGGCTGACTTATCTACTTTTATATACAATCAGTGCCGAATCTGTATACAATCAAGTATAATTTGCAATCTTTGATTTGTTTGTGCGGGATAAAATCATCCGTTTTTCCACCGGTCGTAATTGTTCGAAGAAAGTGACGGAATGTTTGTGCTCGGGTTTGTTTTGTTTTTACTTCTCAGGACAAATTTTGACTTTTTAACTAACCCTTTTTGGCAGCATTTGTATACCATTTGAAAAGCATTGTTATCCGGAGCTCAAATGTAGAAGGGTATCTTACTTGTGAGCTTTTTTTGTTAGGTTTTTGGGGTTTAAAGATTGCCTTGGTGTAAAATTGCCTGAGCTGAGATTTAATCAGTCTTGAAATTGTTCCTAACTGAATTGAGGCATGCTATTTGGTCTATTTAGTACTTTGGTATATGCGAAAAATATCACTTTATATTTAACATAAGGTGTGGTGAGATGATTTAAAAAATTCTCAAAAAAAGTGTTATTTTGGTAATTGCATCAAATTGTTTTTAAGCGAACACAGTCATAGAACTTTAAAGGTTAAAGGCAGTCGGAAAATTCAGAGCTTCGCCTCGATAAGTGCGGTCTTGTTGTCTTTTTGTGCAGGATCTGTGTCAATTTACCACCAAACGCAGCTGGGCAGTTTTTCGAAAATATGAAACTTTTGAAAAATTTGTTTGACTTTTTTTTAGGTTCATTACTTTGATCTCTCGAGTTCTTCAAAAATAACTATAAGAACCCTATTTTGTCAAATTTTTGACAAAAAAACATGCTAAAAATGACGCTTTGATTTTGATCAGATTTTTAAAAATTGTTTTTTTTTTCGGTGCGCGCAATCGTCAAATTTAGTTACATTGGCGCTTAAATAAATTTTGAGGCTGGCTAGCCAAAAATGGATGGGACTCTTGGGAAATTTTGGCAGATAGAATTACAGGTATGAGACGGTCGGCACGCTACTGATTCTAAGTGATTATTCAGTTGCTCAAAATACGGCGCTCAAAGAATTTCACAAAAATGATTAAAAAACGCCGAAAAAAAAAACAACAATACATTGAAAAACGTTGTTGCATTTTTTAAAACTATGATCGGAACATTCTGTGCGATTTGCACATTAATCAGCTATCCTTGTTTCTATTTGACTTTGGCGGAACTGTTTACGTTTTCGAATCCACTAAGTTATTAACTGATTGAATCTCACAACGACCGTTCAATTAAGGATGTGTTTGATTGTTCTTTAGGAGTTCGAGGCTAAGCTGCACCCAGAGATGGGCCATCCGAATAGAGTCGTGCAATTGGGCCAGTTGGATGGGGCTGAACAAGAGAGACACAAAGAGATAGTGTCCACTATAGACATTTGCAACTCAGGCGTCAATGTAAGTACACCAATAAACAGGAGAGGGCCAAAGAGATAGTGTCCACTATAGACATTTGCAACTGAGGCGTCAATGTAAGTGCACCAATAAACAGGAGAGTCACAAAGAGATACTGTCCACTATTGACATTTGCAACTCGGGCGTCAATGTAAGTACAACAATAAACAGGAGAGGCACAAAGAGATAGTGTCCACTATAGACATTTGCAACTGAGGCGTCAATGTAAGTGCACCAATAAACAGGAGAGTCACAAAGAGATACTGTCCACTATTGACATTTGCAACTCGGGCGTCAATGTAAGTACAACAATAAACAGGAGAGGCACAAAGAGATAGTGTCCACTATTGACATTCGCAACTCGGCGTCAATGTAAGTGCACCATTAAATAGCAGAGACACAAAGACATAGTGTCCACTTTAGACATTTGCAACTGAGGCGTCAATGTAAGTGCACCAATAAACAGGAGAGGCACAAAGAGATATTGTCCACTATAGACATTTGCAACTCAGGCGTCAATGTAAGTACACCAATAAACAGGAGAGTCACAAAGAGATACTGTCCACTATTGACATTTGCAACTCGGGCGTCAATGTAAGTACAACAATAAACAGGAGAGGCACAAAGAGATAGTGTCCACTATTGACATTCGCAACTCGGCGTCAATGTAAGTGCACCATTAAATAGCAGAGACACAAAGACAGTGTCCACTATAGACATTTGCAACTGAGGCGTCAATGTAAGTGCACCAATAAACAGGAGAGGCACAAAGAGATAGTGTCCACTGTAGACATTTGCAACTCAGGCGTCAATGTAAGTACACCAATAAACAGGAGAGGGCCAAAGAGATAGTGTCCACTATTGACAATCGCAACTCGGGCGTCAATGTAAGTGCACCATTAAATAGCAGAGACACAAAGAGATAGTGTCCACTATAGACATTTGCAACTGAGGCGTCAATGTAAGTGCACCAATAAACAGGAGAGGCACAAAGAGATACTGTCCACTATTGACATTTGCAACTCGGGCGTCAATGTAAGTACACCAATAGACAGGAGAGGGCCAAAGAGATAGTGTCCACTATTGACAATCGCAACTCGGGCGTCAATGTAAGTGCACCATTAAGTAGCAGAGACACAAAGAGGTAGTGTCCACTACAGACATTTGCAACTGAGGCGTCAATGTAAGTGCACCAATAAACAGGAGAGTCACAAAGAGATACTGTCCACTATTGACATTTGCAACTCGGGCGTCAATGTAAGTACAACAATAAACAGGAGAGGCACAAAGAGATAGTGTCCACTATTGACATTCGCAACTCGGCGTCAATGTAAGTGCACCATTAAATAGCAGAGACACAAAGACATAGTGTCCACTATAGACATTTGCAACTGATGCGTCAATGTAAGTGCACCAATAAACAGGAGAGGCACAAAGAGATAGTGTCCACTATAGACATTTGCAACTCAGGCGTCAATGTAAGTACACCAATAAACAGGAGAGGGCCAAAGAGATAGTGTCCACTATTGACAATCGCAACTCGGGCGTCAATGTAAGTGCACCATTAAATAGCAGAGACACAAAGAGATAGTGTCAACTATAGACATTTGCAACTGAGGCGTCAATGTAAGTGCACCAATAAACAGTAGAGTCACAAAGAGATACTGTCCACTATTGACATTTGCAACTCGGGCGTCAATGTAAGTACAACAATAAACAGGAGAGGCACAAAGAGATAGTGTCCACTATTGACATTCGCAACTCGGCGTCAATGTAAGTGCACCATTAAATAGCAGAGACACAAAGACATAGTGTCCACTATAGACATTTGCAACTGAGGCGTCAATGTAAGTGCACCAATAAACAGGAGAGGCACAAAGAGATAGTGTCCACTATAGACATTTGCAACTCAGGCGTCAATGTAAGTACACCAATAAACAGGAGAGGGCCAAAGAGATAGTGTCCACTATTGACAATCGCAACTCGGGCGTCAATGTAAGTGCACCATTAAATAGCAGAGACACAAAGAGATAGTGTCAACTATAGACATTTGCAACTGAGGCGTCAATGTAAGTGCACCAATAAACAGTAGAGTCACAAAGAGAAACTGTCCACTATTGACATTTGCAACTCGGGCGTCAATGTAAGTACACCAATAAACAGGAGAGGCACAAAGAGATAGTGTCCACTATTGACATTCGCAACTCGGCGTCAATGTAAGTGCACCATTAAATAGCAGAGACACAAAGACATAGTGTCCACTATAGACATTTGCAACTGAGGCGTCAATGTAAGTGCACCAATAAACAGGAGAGGCACAAAGAGATACTGTCCACTATTGACATTTGCAACTCGGGTGTCAACGTAAGTGCACCAATAAGCAGGAGAGACAAAAAGGAAAAGAGTTAGTGTCTAGTATAGACATTTGCAACTCAGGCGTCAATGTTATTCCAGCACTGAACAGCAGAGACACAAAAAGATAGTGTCCACTATAGACATTTGCAACTCAGGCGTCAATGTAAGTACACCATTGAACATGAGAGACACCAAGAGATAGTGTCCACTTTAGAAAATTGAACTCAGGCGTCAATTTAATTGCACCAATAAACTGGAGAGGCACAAAGAGATAGTGTCCACTATTGACATTCGCAACTCGGGCGTCAATGTAAGTGCACCATTAAATAGCAGAGACACAAAGAGATAGTGTCCACTATAGACATTTGCAACTGAGGCGTCAATGTAAGTGCACCAATAAACAAGAGAGGCACAAAGAGATACTGTCCACTATAGAGATTTGCAACTCAGGCGTCAATGTAAGTGCACCAATAAGCAGGAGAGACAAAAAGGAAAAGAGTTAGTGTCCACTACAGACATTTGCAACTTAGGCGTCAATGTAAGTGCACCAATAAACTGCAGAGACACAAAGAAATAGTGTGCACTATAGACATTTGCAACTCAGGCGTCAATGTAAGTGCAGCAATAAACTGCAGAGACACAAAGAGATAGTGTCCACTATAGACATTTGCAATTCAGGCGTCAATGTAAGTGCACCAATAATCAGGAGAGGCACAAAAAGTTAGTGTCCACTATTGACATTTGCGACTCAGGCGTCAATGTAAGTGCACCAATGAACAGTAGAGACACAACGAGTTAGTGTCCACTATAGACATTTGCAACTCAGGCGTCAATGTAAGTCCACCAATGAACAGGAGAGACACAAATATGGTGTCCACATTAGAAATTTGCAACTCAGGCATCAATGTAAGTCCGCCATTGAACAGGAGAAATACAAAGAGATGGTGTCGATCATAGACATTAGCAATTTAGGCGTCAGTGTAAATCCATCGATGAACATGAAAGACACAAAAAGGTAGTGTCCACTATTGACATTTGCGACTCAGGCGTCAATGTAAGTTCACCAATAAACAGGAGAGGCACAACGAGTTAGTGTCCACTCTAGACATTTGCAACTGAGGCGTCAAAGTATTTGCATCAATAAACAGCAGAGACACAAAGAGTTTGTGTCCACTATAGACATTTGCAATTCAGGCGTCATTGTAAGTGCACCAATAATCAGGAGAGGCACAAAGTGTTAGTGTCCACTATTGACATTTGCGACTCAGGCGTCAATGTAAGTGCACCAATGAACAGTAGAGACACAACGAGTTAGTGTCCACTATAGACATTTGCAACTCAGGCGTCAATGTAAGCGCACCAATAAACTGCAGAGACACAAAGAGATAGTGTCCACTATAGACATTTGCAACTCAGGCGTCAATGTAAGTCCACCAATGAACAGGAGAGATACAAATTTGGTGTCCACATTAGACATTTGCAACTCAGGCATCAATATAAGTCCGCCAATAATCAGGAGAGGCACAAAGAGTTAGTGTCCACTATTGACATTTGCGACTCAGGCGTCAATGTAAGTGCACCAATGAACAGTAGAGACACAACGAGTTAGTGTCCACTATAGACATTTGCAACTCAGGCGTCAATGTAAGTCCACCAATGAACAGGAGAGACACAAATATGGTGTCCACATTAGACATTTGCAACTCAGGCATCAATATAAGTCCGCCATTGAAGAGGAGAGATACAAAGAGATGGTGTCGATCATAGACATTAGCAATTTAGGCGTCAGTGTAAATCCATCGATGAACATGAAAGACACAAAAAGATAGTGTCCACTATTGACATTTGCGACTCAGGCGTCAATGTAAGTTCACCAATAAACAGGAGAGGCACAAAGAGTTAGTGTCCACTCTAGACATTTGGAACTCAGGCGTCAATGTAAGTGCACCAATAATCAGGAGAGGCACAAAGAGTTAGTGTCCACTATTGACATTTGCGACTCAGGCGTCAATGTAAGTGCACCAATGAACAGTAGAGACACAACTAGTTAGTGTCCACTATAGACATTTGCAACTCAGGCGTCAATGTAAGTCCACCAATGAACAGGAGAGACACAAATATAGTGTCCACATTAGACATTTGCAACTCAGGCATCAATGTAAGTCCGCCATTGAACAGGAGAGATACAAAGAGATGGTGTCGATCATAGACATTAGCAATTTAGGCGTCAGTGTAAATCCATCGATGAACATGAAAGACACAAAAAGATAGTGTCCACTATTGACATTTGCGACTCAGGCGTCAATGTAAGTTCACCAATAAACAGGAGAGGCACAAAGAGTTAGTGTCCACTCTAGACATTTGGAACTCAGGCGTCAATGTAAGTGCACCAATAAACTGCAGAGACACAAAGAGATAGTGTCCACTATAGACATTTGCAATTCAGGCGTCAACGTAAGTGCACCATTAAATAGCAGAGACACAAAGAGATAGTGTCAACTATAGACATTTGCAACTGAGGCGTCAATGTAAGTGCACCAATAAACAGTAGAGTCACAAAGAGAAACTGTCCACTATTGACATTTGCAACTCGGGCGTCAATGTAAGTACACCAATAAACAGGAGAGGCACAAAGAGATAGTGTCCAC